TAGTCCCAGGAAAAAGGGAATATATACATAGAGCAGAGCAAGCTAACTTACAGCCTGAAGCAGAGTTTCCCCAGATTACCTGCAAACCTGTGAATGAGAAAAAAAGGCCATTGCTTACTATTATATACTACTGAGATTTCTGTGTTTATTGTACAGAACATTGTGGCAATGTCAATAGCTAACTATTACAGGGGTTTACAGAGTTACAGTGTAAAGATCTACTGGGAAGAAATTAAACAAAGCCTGGCTGAGGACAGAGAGGTGTGACTTTACAAAAGAGGACAGAAAACAGAAAGGTTTAATCCTTTACCAACTCCTATGGATAACAGGTTTGTGAGGCCTGACAGATTTATCTAGCTGCAAGGCTAAATGAAAGGCATTCAAGGTCTTAGACTCTACCTAAAGTAAGACCAAGAAGGAGTAGAGAAGCAAGAGAGAATGGTGACTCAGATGTCAAAAGAAAAAAGCCTTTCAAAGAGGAGGGAGATTTGTCAATGCCAATGATAAATCAAGTAAAATGATGACAAAGATTTGGCTGTTGGATCTAACAATATGGCAGTCATTAGTCACCTTCACCAAAGGGAAAAACACTTAAAGAGTAAGAGAGATGGAGTAGTAGCTTCAAGAGAGAATGGGGGAAAGAAATTTGATATAATGAGTAAAATCAACTCTTTCTAAATATGTTGTTATGAAGGGGATCAGAAAAAGGTAACAAGAACTAGAGGGAAATGTGGGTTCAAGAAAGAGCTGTTTTTTTTTTTAAGATGGGAAATGTAACATCTTTGTGTCCCTATAAAGATGATGCAATTGAGAGGGGGGAAAATGCATAGTATTTTAAGGGGAGGATCCAGTGCACAAGTAGAGGACTCAGCCTTAGGGATAAACCTAAAAAGTTCATTTAAAGCACCAGGAAGGAAGGCAGATACACATCCACTGGCAAATGTGGTGGTTCAAATATGTAATAGCTTCTATTTTCTCAGTTAAGTAAAAGCAAAGTCAAGATCACAGAGAAATAACAGGGAGGAAAGAGTTAAAGTTTGGGGAAGAAAGGAAAATTTTTAAATAATTATCTAGGAAAGAAGGAGAGTGAGTGGATTATTAAAATGTAATCTATCCATTTAGGCACACATTTCTCCTGCCACTATAAGCACTTAGAGAACAAAAATGGTACCTTACTCAGCTTTACATCTTAACAGCTCCTAGTATGGGAACTTGTACTCTTTGTTATTAATTTTCTATAATTTTACTTTCATTTCCTTTAATATTAAAATAAAATCCAGTTGACTTAGTATTTTGTAAGTCCTTAACTTTTTAAATTTTAATAAGAGAAGCTTGCAAGAAATACAATTAAAGAACTAGCATAAAAAGAGTCCACAGTCTTTGGAGTTACTACCCACTTACTCAAATCAGGTTTGAAATCCATAAAAATGATTACTAATTTCAAGAGACTCTTGCCAGTTAAAACTCATTTTCTTAATATCTTAATATGACAGATTCTCTTTATTAAGAAATCCTTTAGGATTAAAGGGTTTATACATAAAATATAATTTGAAATTCACCTAAGCTGGAATTAAGTTGTTTTTCTCACTAGTTCAAATATGTGTTATAATTCAAAACTGCTCGGAGATAAATGAAGCAGAAACCAAAACTTCTACAGAAAATACTAACACAAATTATGCATCTTAAAACATTTGTAATTACAAGGAAAAGGCAAGATCTTCCAGAGCCATCTCTAAATTTTAAAGAATTATTCATAATGACTTGAATGTAATTAAAGTCTAATAGTGTATTGCTGTGATTTACCAAATGGGATTATTTTTAATACTGGTAACTTCCAACTTGTTAGCTAGAGCAATTTAATGAATATTAAAGTCATTCAAACAGTTCAAGTTACTGTCTGGTATTCTTCACTCTCAGACAGTGAGATATCAAAAAATACCATCTTCAAATTTGATATTAAAACATTTTGCAGTGAATCTGATGGGCAAACTTGGTGATAATTCATTTGAATCACATAATAAAATTAAACACTGACCCAAAAAAAGGCAATTAAACAAAAGGAAAACATGTTTTCTATGAACAAAGCAATAATAACAAAAAAACATCAATTAAGGCTAATTAAATGCTGAAAGATTCAACTCATCGAAATATATTTTAGAATATGCTGTCAGCTCTACTTCTAGAAAACCTTCAAGATGACATCATAGAGTGAGCATCAGGTACCAGCCTTGATGCTTCTGATTAAGTTCATAGTGGTCTAAACATACTGTGCCCCTTTCACCTGATATGTGTAGTAACAAACCCAAATGCTATATGAGCAAAGTAGAAAATCTAAAGGAATGAATCTGGCAATGATGGTAGAGAAAGGTTGGGACCTTAGGAGGTATACAGCCCATCTAAAAGCATTCAAATTCAATATCTTAAAACACTCTTTTGACCACATAAAATGCACATCTGCAAGCTAAGTTATATCTAAATTCAAAATCCTAAAGACCTTCAAGGTCCTCTTCAAATATCACTCTATCAATGTCTCTTCAAGTCCTCCATATTACAATCCATATTTTCTTCACTGCTATGTCCTTAGCACTTTGCCCTACTATTTATTTTAATATGTCATGTATAGCAGTTATTCTTGCAAGTTTCTGTGTCCTCCACTAAGTTTTGGGCAGAGATCTTACTTATCTTCAATTTTCCAAAATCCAAAAGCACAAAATACAGTAAGTAGTATTTTGCATAATAAAAGATGTACCATATACATATAAAATTGAATCCAGACTCTTTCTCTTCTGGCCATGTCATCTAGTACAAAATATGAAAACATTTTGGCCATGGACATGAAGTGTGTGACTGATCTCAGTCATCGTAAAGTCCTTGGTTATAAAGCACTCTGAGCCACCAAATTTAAAAGTATTCCAGAAGTGTTATCAAAGCAGTAATTCTAGATTAAAGAAATTCAACATAAAGAAAATAAATATCTAGCTTATCATTAAACATACTTCTAGAGAAAGTATGTTTACATACTTCTAGAGAAAGTATGTTTACATACTTCTAGAGAAAGTATGTTTACATACTTCTAGAGAAAGTATGCTTACAATAGTAAATATGTATCTCATTTCAATACCCCTTTGAGGGGAAAGTTGTTGCTTTTTTTAATATGAAGGCTACAAAAATTCTTGTGCTGATTTTCAAGACTGCTAAAGTAGAATAAATTAAAAAATTAAGAAAACATTTTATAAGGGCACCTGAGTGGCTCAGTCAGTTAAGTATCCGACTTTGGCTCAGGTCATGATCTCACAGTTCGTGAGATTGAGTCCTGCATTGGGCTCTCTAATGTCAGCATGGAGGCTGCTTCAGATCCCCTGGCCCCCTCTCTCTCTGCCCCTACCCCCATTCTCAAAAATAAACAAACATCTTTTTAAAAAGGTTTTATAAATCTCTAAATAACTAAATAATACAGGCAAAGCTCTCATTAAAAGTCTGTTTTAGGGTGCCAGCCTTAAATGTAGGATTGGAAGGCCTATTATTTTTAAAACTTCAATGAAAAATCCCCCAGAGACACAAGATTCAACCTCTAAACAATTCCTAGGAAAAGTAACCCCACAGTTGTGAACACTAATTCCACTTGGAATGTTACAAACCTGGCTGCATTTGTTCCCTCTGGGTATTCACACCCCTTTTACAATTCACACCCCCTTGTAATTGAGAGGTACAATCTCTTTTCCCAACCCTTGAATCTCAGCTGCCTTTGTGAACTGTTGGTCAATCAAACACTGCAGAAAAGAAAGTAAGTATGCTTGCTCCCAGTCTAGACCTCAAGAGACCTTGTATACTCCTGTTCCCTCCCTCCTTCCTTCTCTCATGTGTACACATGCATGCACATAGAACCATATTACTGTTATGTTCCCTGTCATGAACAAGCCCAAGGCAGCCTGCTGGATCATGAAAGACACAAGGCAGCCTCACTATTACCCCAGGCAACATCCTATAACAGAGCTACTCAAATGACCTATAATTGACCCCAGACACATGAGAGAACCCAGCCAAAACAGAGCTACCTACCAAGGCTCAGACTAAATCACCAACCACAGAATTATGAGCTAAATGAGTAGTCATTATGTTAAGCCATTAAGTTTCAAGAGACTTTGTTATACAGCAATAGCATACTAATACACAGGGAAGAAGACACAATCTGACAGGAACCAAAAGGGTCTCTGGAAGATAAAAATGCTGCCACTGACTTGGGAGACAAAAAAAAAAAAAAAAA